TCAGCATACGGGAGTCATGGTTTGCAGCGACGCCTTCCAGCGGAGGGGAGCCCAGGAGAAGACGGTGCCATGCTACATCGATAGAGCATCCAGGTGCACCAAAGGAATTACAGGATGATTCACAAGTTGTGACAAAAAATAAAACATCATACACAGGACCGCCTTTTGAGGGGGGTCTTCTATGTAACATTTTTTCCTCGAGGGCTTCATTAAAAAGATAGGGGTGTTAGAGTTTGAAAATAAAAAACATTTTTTTAATAGTCCGTCAACTGGAATAAACTAAAATTTGGTATGTGGACTTACCTAAGTGTTGTCCACATTCAAAAGTCAAAATTAACGTGCACCATTGGCAGATGTACAGGGAATTAGTGGCATTATTTTGCCAATTTAAAATACTACGCCACTGTTTTTTTTTTCGAAATGTGCAATTTTTCAAATTTTAACTTCAACTTGCTACAAATAACTGCTATTGTGTTTGTTCCAAGAATGGATTGTTTTCGTGGAAATAAAAAAAAACCGAATAGATAATCAAAGCTTTATTTCCACAAATGTTCTGACGGATACAAGCGCGGCATATTTTTAATAGAGAAAAACGTATTTCCGCAAAATTTGTTGTGGCTTGAATTCGATGAAAAGCATCTATTCTTTCTTGTAACTGATCAACAGTATTAATTTGTTCAGCATACACTAGTTGCTTAATGCGCCCCACAGAAAGAAATCCAGGGGTTCAAATCAGGTCACCTCGCAGGTCAATGTACGGGTCCGTTTCTGCCAATCCATCGTTGTTTAAAATAATTATTTAACCATGTGGATATGTCACGACAAACATGCGGTGAGGCAACGTCGTGCTGATACCACATTCGTACTCTCGTTGCTAACGGAACATCATTTAACACATTTTCTATGTAATTCCCTAGAAAAGCTAAATATGAGTTTGCATTTGAACGTTGTGGCAATACGTGCATAAACAGTTGGCCATTAAAAATGCCGCACCAGACATTTCTAGAAAATATGTGTTGAAACGTGTGGATTTACACAGAACAGAGATTTTCTAACAGCTAAATATGTTCATTATGACAACTAGAGGTTCCACTCCTCGTAAAAACCGATTTATCTGACCACAAAACCAATTTTGATTACGCATTTGCAGTAATCACTCCCAAAAATTTCGCCGTTGCGCTTCTTAGCCGGGTTGCAGACATTACACATTTTGCCAATGGTAAGGATGTAAAACTTATTTAAAATTATCCACGTAAGACTTTGGAAACATGGTAACTGGGCTGCAATCCGCCTATTACTTGTACTAGGATCATCCAACGCCAAATTAATCACTTCCAGTTCCTCTTGAGCAGTATGCCGGAGACCATGGCTTCTAACTCCGAGAAGTTTGGCAATTCCATATTGCCAAAGTCTTAGAAATGGACGCGTAAAAACCTTTGGGGTAGGTTGGCGTTTGTTAGGAAATCTACGTTGATACTCTCTAGAAGCCGCTGAAGCATTTCCATTACAGAAGCCGTACACAAAAATAATATCGGCATACTCATCCTTGCTAAATTCCATTTCACAACACTCAAAAATGGAAAAAGAAACTTTTGACTTGACTTTTACAAAGAAAAATGGTAGTAGTAACGATAACAGCCGAATAACATAACTTTGACAAACTATCTCTCAAGAAACGTCAGGCCTCCTATTTTATTTTAAAACTGTATCTCGGCTCTTCATTAATGATATAATTTGTTTTATTTTTATTTTTCCGAAAACAGTGTACTCTAGGAGAAAAACATAAAAGTAATTATTTGTGGCAAATTTAAGGAGAAATTCGAAAAAGGGCTACATATACCAGATGAAGACCACTCGCTGTGAGGATAAAGGAATGGCTTCACGTTCAACAAGCCGAACCAGAGAAATCAGCTATAGGAGAATTCACATGGAGAGAACACCACGAAATAAACTAGGAAGATACCAAGATCACATATAAAGAAGTACACTCGTATCGCCGAAAATTAAAGGAGGCAGTAACAGCAACGTGTGTAGCAAAGACGTTGTAGAAATCAAAACAATATCGTAAGCAGCATCAAGACTCTATGATTGGAACAACCAGGGTATATCTCCCGAAGAACAAGTTATGACCACCGGCCAGCCACATCGTCACAGAGGACAGGTCTGCGATGACGGTAAAAATAGGTGAGGGATGAACATGTATGCCAGTTCACCTGAAAACAATCAAAGATAGTTTAGCAATCGCAACGTTGTGATCTCAAAAATTGAATAGACAATGAAAGCTCGAAATAAAATGTTTGTCAGTACGGAATAAAGTATTTTACATTTGCTTGAAATATTAGGTTATTCGGAAAGTTCTTATTTTTGTTATTTATATTTTAAATGATGTATTTTACACTAAAATATATTTACAATACTTTGACCTTACATGTCATTTTTAAGTGCGTTTTACGATCTATCTAGTCGTTGTATTTTTTTGTTTTACGTTAATTTATTTTTTAACACTTCAAATATAGGATGGACAAGAGGCAATTTCGTACGATTTTCTTATTCCAGTTCAAATTAGAGACAGCTCGCAATATCAACGATGCATTTGGCCAAGGTACCACTAACGAACGTATGGCATAATGGTGGTTCAAGAAATTCTACATCGGTGAAGAGTACCTTGAAGACGAAGAGCGCAGTGGTCGGCCACATGATGTCGACGACGACGAACTAAAGGCCCGGCTGAAAGCAAACCCACGCATAACTGTTCGTGAGCTTGCGGACGAGCTTGAGTATTGCGACCATTTCTGATCACGTATCGGAAAGCCGGAAAATCTCTATAAATGAGTACCGCACGAGTTGAGCGAAGATAAATCATTGTTTTGAGGTAGCGTCTGCCCTCCTTCTACGCAGTAAAAACGAAAAGTTTCTCGACCGGTCTGTAACATGTGATGAAAAATGGATTCTCTAAGACAACAAGCGACGTTCTGCGCAATGGTTTGACAGCGACGAGGCTCTACAATCTTTCCCGAAACCTAAATTCGATCCAAAGAAGGTTAAGGTGACTGTTTGGTGGTCTGCAGCCGGTCTCATCCGCCACAGCTTTCTAAATCCATTACGGCGGAGAAGTACTGCCAGCAACTCGACAAAATGCATCAGAAGCTCTGTACCGTGGATTGGTCAATATGAAGGGGTCAATTTTCCTCCAGGTCAACGCCCGACCACATGCCGCACAACCGAGCCTGCAAAAGCTGAACGAATCCGGCACCATGTTCGCCGGACTTCTCGTCCACCGATTACCACTTTTTCAAGCACCTCGACGACTTCCTTCTCGAGAAATGCTTCAATAAACATGACGTTGCCAAAAATGCCTTGAATAAGTGCATCGCCTGCAGAACTCCGGATTTCTACGTTAACGGCATAAATAAACTTGTGTCTCGTTGGGAAAAGTGTATTGTTTCTAATGATTTTTATTTTATTGATAAAGTTTTGTTAAAGCTGAGATATGCTCCTTTCGATTTGAAGGTTAAAAACCGCAACAACTTTCCGAACAACCTAATAAAATTGACAGATCCTGCAATTTTTCAATCGAAATGTTCCATGTTGATTTTTAATCTACAATAACAGCCTGCTGGTCCGCTATTTAAACGGGCGAGATAGGGAGCCGTGTTCATAAGAGAGAAGCATATCCTCGGAAGCATAAAGTATAAGGTCTTGTTTCTGAGCAAGATGTAGAAGTATAAGCATATCCTAGTTTTCATATTCATAATGATTACCTTATACTCGATATTCTCCAAGAAGAAGTAAAAGGTTGACTGGTATTTGTATCTTGAGCGACATGTCCTGACTCAGCATCACTGACAGCTGTACTCCAGAGCTTACACAGACCGTTCCGTATTTTTACTGGATACAGTTTTTTTATCAAATTAATAAGCATGTCATCCTCAAGTGATGAGGGAACTATAGAAAATAATGGCAACGACCTGCAGTTCATCGCAGATGAAATTGCCATTGCTTCCATTATTTTGCAAAAGTCACGAGTTCCAAAAATAAAAATGAGAATGGACGATGCCTTGAAGAAGATGTTTGAAAAATCCGAATCAACATTCGGTAAACCATTAGTTACTAAAGGCTTATTAAAAAAAATCAACATGAAATCAAGATTGAAGAAAAAACAGATCTAAAAAAAAAACTGGTAGTAAAGCAATTAAATTGTTAGATTGGGAAAGAAAGTTGCTGAAAGCTATGGAAGGTAACTGTAATCCTACAATTGGCAAATTAGAGGTGCCATTCAGGTTGGTAGTGTTCAAGAAGAAGGAAGTGAACTATATACCGAGCGCAGTGAGCAAACAGTTAGTATTGCAGCGCCAGCAATTCAGAAGACATTTGCCACCAAAAAGAAAATTAGCAACAGAGAAATACGAAACTGAGGAAACCAAAGGGTTAACTCCAAAGGACCTGCAACGTCTGGTGCTATTACAGCAGAACCAAACAAGTTCTTTACAACAAGAGTATTATAAAACGAAATTAGAAATGATGCAGCGTCAGAAGCCACCTGTAATTTATGATGTTCACGAAAATAAAACTTGTTATAACGTATAAATACACTTTAATCAGTAAAACTATTTATTATAATACTCAAGTTCCTTCTTATTTGATGACCTGGTTGGCAGAGAGGAAGAGAGGAAGTTCGTCATTCTCATGATTTCCTTCATCCTCATCTGTCTTGTTCAACTAACTCAGATTCAGGATCGTCCAAGCTCTTCGCAACATTATGGAAACCGGCGTTTCAGTTGGCCGAAACATCGTTCGATTATAACTGTTTCTTGTTTCAAAAGCTTATTATAATTTATTTCTGTACCTGGAGTAGGATTTTTGAAGGGAGTCATAAGGCATGGCTCAATACCTTAACCGTCATCGCCAAGTAGTACAACATTTGCTTTATTTATTAGTTGTGATCTAGTCTGTGAAATTCTCCATATTCTGGAATCAGGGACTGATCCAGCCCAACTGACATCAACACATGTGAACATCTCTCTGGCATCACAAGTGGCTTGCACATTTAAAGTAGGTTTCCCTTTTCGGTTGATATGCTCATCTCCATGGCGATTTGGTTTCAGGATTCCTATATGTGTACAATCAATTACGCAAATTTCTGTCGGAAATTTATACATGCTTTGCCATGTCCGCCTGGCCTCCATCAGTTCATGGTAGGTAGTTGGAAACTTGATCCATTCATTCGACTGTGCAACTATGCTGTTCACAACTCTATCCACAGTACGAAATACCGTTGCTTGACTAACACCAAGTTCCTGACCAATATTTTGTTGATATCCAGGGTCACCGAGATAGCGTAGACATATCTTCATTTTATGAATACATGAAAGTGCTCCTCCTCGAGTTTCCTCATTCTCAACTAAAAATCTGTCCGCAAGCCATTGTACATTTGCTTCGTCGAACCGATATAATTTTTTGAAGTCACAACCAAGTGAAGGGAAACGAGGTTTGTACGTTTTAACATCCCTAACATCCACAATTTCCGCCATCATCGTTTGACCACCTTTCATGACGAAGTTGACTCTGCTACTGACCACACTCAGAATTTTTGAAGGATATGCTTCCTATGCCCAGTATAAGGTGAAGATTATGAATATCCTTTTACTTATGTCACTTCTTTGAAGGATATGCTTATACTCAAAAAGCAAAAGCATTTACTTCAAATTATTATAAATACCATCTGGAGGATTTTCTTCAAAATTTGCAAGGACAAAGATATCCTTTGTTTTATGAGTACGGCTCAGGAAAGTTCAAATAAAGTCGGCTTGCTAACTTGACCCGTTCAAAAAATGAATAGAGCGTGGATTTCTGTAAAGCACTGTACAGTTACGCGCTTATTCGTTCTTTATGCAACTGCAAACGTCATCAAAACGTGTCCTTGCTCATTCCTTGCATCCTTGTACCATCCATTTTTTACCCCGTCATTAACGTCTGTGTCTTTCTGTCACATAGTCGAAGACCCGTGTAGTGGTAACGAGTTTCACGTCCTATCCTATGCAGGGTAGCAAATTAAAAGGCAAATTCCTTCTTCCTCCACCATGACAATAGGGCTAAAAGAGGATGAAAAAGCACGCGCTCGATGTTCTAGATTATGCGTTATTCGATGGAGGCTGGCGCGGATGCGACGCCTCGCGTAGCTCCTCTTGAAATCCAAGTGGCTGCCTGGAGTTTAATCGACACGAGCTTCACTGGGTGAGAGCTTTTCAGTTGTCACTTTGTATTTTGGAGGTTACTATTTCGCTATTCTTTTTTCATAACAACTGCAGATAGTATAAAAGGGCTTGATGAGAGAAACGGAATCAGCAAAGTAACCTGATTCCAAATTCCATATGGCGACCAGCGCAAAATACCGATTATTTATATCTCTCGAAAATTTATTATACAAATAAAGTATGGAGTCCTATTAATGAAATATATAACATCTATATAGTAATTTGACATCATAGATAATAGAAAGTATGTTGAATAGCTAATAAAATAGAAAAATAGATTTTTAAAAACATGTTTTTATTTAGCTTCTCAAAAATGGAATGAAAATTTACGACAATCAGGCATCTTCATCACATTTTTTCAAATAAATGCGCGTCATGTTTTGCCATCAGTATGAAAAATAATGTAACACGCTTTTATAATGAACACTTGAGATGAAACAGCTTCATAGCTTCAATCGAAAAAAATAGTTTTAAATTTCAAGTTCATTTTATTAACAGCTCAATAAAAAAATTGTTTAAAAAATTATTTTTATATTCTACTCATTTTGTTATATACATTGTAGCTAACTACGAACGACGAACTTGTGCCGAACGTAATCCTTACAAGTCAAGACAAAGTTTGGCCATGTACTGATATGATACCCTTTCCTTACGATGGTATCAACTGATTTTGAGCGGGGTTGCGATAAGTTCTCCAAAAATGGTTTTATGAGAAAAATGTGGTACCTCCTTAATAACCGGAGAGCTACATTCGCCAGGAGTTGGCACCTCTTTTTACAGCACCCCTGAAAATTTTTAGAGCTCTGAGCTGCATTTGAATAGTCTCATAGTTCTCAGGGGGGTGCGACAATAGTTCTGCAGTTTTTTTGATGTATTTTCAAAAAGCAGTTTTGGGGGTGCTAACTTCACGCCGCACCCCTTTTACGTAAAACGTAAGTTCTGTGCTACGGATTAGCAAGGTAGTGAATAGTTCTACAGTTCTCAATAGTTTTTAACAAGAGTTCTGCAAAATTTACAAAATTTAAAAAAATCAACATTAACCATCCACGAGCAGCAAGCCTCACACCCTCATGTAAATAATGATGTTCGGTAATTTTCAAACACTGAAATTGGGAACTCTATGACAAAAACTACCCTTGCCTGTGGAGAATGTGGAGAAATACCTATACAATACCAAAAAATCCCACAAAGTTGTTAAGCCGTAGTTTCTGCAGCATATCACCTCCTTTAGATATCTTTAGCATAATGCCCAGTACAATTTAAAAAGCAGAACCGGGGGTGCCATTAGAAAAAACAACCCTTGGTTGGGAGGTTGTCGAAAAATACCTCCGAATATCTAAAAAGCAGAACTCAGGGGTGCCGTCAGAAGAAACTGCCCTTGGTTGGGAAAAACGATGAGAAATACCTTGGAAACTTCAAAAATTCACCTAAAAGTGAAAAACGCAGAGTTCTAACGCAGCAACCCCCTCAAATATGCTTAGCATAATAATCTGTACAATTTCAAGAGCAGAGCTCGGAGGTGCCATTAGAAAAACCTACCCTTGGTTGCGAAAAACGACGATAAATACCTTGGAAAATTCACATAAAGGTGAAAAAATGCAGAGTTCTGGAGGGAGTCTTGGATTAGAATCCTGCGTATTTTCACTTTTATGTGATTTTTTTTAGTTTCCGCTTTTCCCAACCAAGGCTAGTTTTTTCTAACCGCACCCCCGAGTTCTGCTTTCCAAATCGTACTAGGTATTATGCTAGAGCTCTGCGATTTAACACTTTTTGGTATTTCGGAGATATTTCTTCACATTTTCCCCAACCAAGGGCAGTCTTTTCTCATAGGATCCCCAATTTCAGTGTTTCATAATTCCTGAACTTTACTGGTGGCATGAATGTGTGAGACTCACTGTGCTGGAGTATCGGGTACTTTTCGAATTTTCTGGCGATAGATGTGACATGCTGGTGACTTGTATCCTGAATGGTAGATGATGATGAAAAACTGCGGAACTATTGTCGCACCTCCCTGAGAACTGTAGAACTATTCAAAATTAGTTCAGAACTCTGAAAATAATCAAGGGTGCTGCAAAATGGGGTGCCAACTTCCGGCCACCGAGAACTACAGGCTCTTGCATAAATATGTATGAGATCCGAAATAATCTCGACAAATTATCTAGAACTAATGACTTTTAGTGCCAAGTCAACGATCTAGAAGGTAATGGCTTCACAATATGTATAGCGGCTGTCATTCGTCTTACTGCTTCTACATACGACATCGACTCAGGTACTGTTGACGTAAATACCTATTCATGCAGGTCATTCGGTAATTGTGCGTTCTCCAAACAGATTGCAACATTGTTTTGCATCAAATATAATTAAAATATATGTTACAATATTTCTCAAAAATATGCTACTTAGAGTTTCATTGATTACTGGAAGCTAGCACGCAATACCCGTGTCATATCAACCGTCATCGTCAAATGAAGCAAGTGCTGACAACTTGATTGGTAACAATACCAAAAACCCCCTTAGGTAGTGTAGATGTGAGATTCGAGCATATAGATCGGAACTTACTGAAGAAAATACAAATACTAAATGCTCTTGTTCCATCAATGATGTATTTCTGTTGACAATAAAGAACTGATCCAACTCCTGAAAGCTCCATAATCCTTCGATGATATGAAGCTGAAAAGAAATACCTTACATTCTTTACGAAAGCAAATCCTTACGCGACAATATTAAGGTATATATTGAAGGTTAATAAGGGTGCTGTTAGATGTAAACGGGGAAGACATCGTAAGCAATGAATTGAATATCACACGTACTGGCTTTTGTTAGTTTCAAGCCTCATTTTGGATAGATGACCGTCAATCAGATGGTACTACTATACTACTAAATAATGTGAAAAGAGCAAGAAGCTGTCAGTAGGACCTTTGTTCTGAAAAAAATGCACTCCTTAAAGGCAAGGAGCTTTTGCGATTTTAAGAGAGCTGAATTAAATAACAGACAATCTATGAGTCGCACAACTGTTTCACAAAGTTTTCCTCTGGTTCTGAGGGAAGCAACAATCCGTGTCCACAATGAAGTTATATTGTTATGCATTAAGGAAATGAGGGACAAACTCTGTGATTTCATCATTAGTAGACGAAAAAAAAACATTTCCGTTTTCTTTAATATATAGGTTCGGGTCTACGAACTTCTTTCCGCTTATCGGAGAAGTGCGGAGAGAACTCAAAAGCGGTAGGCTCATGTACACTAGAAGTACCACCAGTGAAACAATAGATTATACCATATTTCAGCTAAATTTGAAACAAAATAATGTCATAGTACATTTGATAAACGCTCAGCCACGTGACTGATTTGATTGAACACTAATTCACTGCAACTAAAATCACTTACGGGTGGCGATGACCTATGGAGCAGTAGTAAGGCGGGTGGAGGCTGACATACGTTTTGTAACAAAAACGCCGTTTTACTGTTCAAAGTCTAATTTTATTACTGCTTCGCTAATTTATAACATCTGCAACTAATTTATATCAAATTAATAACGATGCCGACTGGACTATTATTCCATCTTAATTCCGTGTTCACTGTCCACTGGCTCGACTATATCTGAATGCTGAATCTGGTCGGGTATTTTTCCTCCTATCGACGCGTTTCCCAGAATTTCTATGGAAGTGGTCTGGATGCAGCTTCATATATAGACTTGTCCAAGATTCGCAGTGGCATCGTGAAAGGTCCAGAAGCGCGACCACGACTTGTATTCATTTATTTTTGTGAGACAACTTTTAAAAGGATATTTCGACATGAGTGCCTTATTAGAGTAGAGCCAATTACCAAGAAAACGGACAAAAAGAGCTTTGTCAGTTTCTGAAAAAGAAACTATTATAAATACTTATATAGCTTTTCCAAATGAAACTCAGCCAGATCGTGTAGCCTTTGTTTCAAGAGCATCAGGTGAGATTTTAGCTTTGAAGTATAATTTAAAATATTTTGTAGTTTGATGTATTATTCTAAATTATTAAAGTTATTTTCTGTTGAATATCTTACCCACTAATATGATAGCTACTTCTATTGCACACATTTTGATTTTTAAAACATATTTTAAATTATTTTTATCATTTATTAATGCATGTATATATAATATATGCAAAATGAAATAATTTGTTTGCAGGAGCATCAAGTAGCAGTGTATACGATTATAAAATGTTGGCAGAGCACAAAAGAAGCAACAATCTTTCTCCTTCCAAAGGTTACCATGGAGCCAGAGTAGTTTTGGACAACGTTCCACAAGAAACTAAGGCATTAATCCGAAGAAAAATCTGCGAACTTTTCTTCCGAAACGAACCATCCATATTGGAAAAAAATTTGTTATCAATAAACGACGACAACGACTTGCCAGACTACGAAAGATCGACGTTGGCTACATTGTTGTACAAAAAACTTATTTTGTTTTTTATTTCTCTTTGAAAGTAAAATACAAAACTAAAAAAATCCATAAAATATTCACACACAAAAATAGCTTAGAGTTTTTTTATCATTCTTTATCTATACTTTATGACTAAACTAAATTTGCAATTTTGTTAAGAGGAATCACCTGAAATTCGTTATTCGTATAATATGGTTCATTCAATTAACGAATTTAAAGATTTAATGTAATTTTTTGTTTTGTAGGAAGGAAGCGAAATAGCATCTTGAAAGAAAAGGACGAGATAATATGTTGGAGACGTAGATACTAAAGCAAAATCTGGAAGTATAGAGAAAAAGGCAGGAAGATATACTACCTAGACGAGACTTCTCTCAATGCATGGCACACTATTAGTAAGGTATGGGTGGATTAATGCCAATTTATTTGAAGAATTATTTGAAAATATTATAAGCCGTCTAGAAGAGAACGCTGTCATTGTTATGGACAATGCTTCATACCATAGTAGGCATATTGATAAAGCACCAAACAGTGGAAACAGAAAAAAGGAAATACAGGAATGGCTACGAAGGCATAATGTTCCCTTTGACAACGATATGGTCACAACCGAAGTTTTAAATGTGGTCAAGGGCAATAATGTATGTCATCGATGAAATGGCTAAATCTACCAATCAAAACACAACTTTCAAGATCGCAGATGCAAAGCAGCTTTTTTACACCGCGGCACAAAATGTTACTCCGGAAAATTGGAAAAAAGCAGTCGAACATGTTGCGAAGGAGGAAGAAAAAATGTGGACAACTGACCAATGTATCGAAACAGTGGTTGAACCAGTGATTCTTATCTTTAACGTTTCAGAATCTTCAGATTATACTGATAGTGATATATTTATATCTATATATATATATATATATATATATAAAGAGAAAATTATCATGCGGAGAAAGGTATATAACAAAAATAGGAAAATAATGGACAAAATCCGCAAAAAAGTGGATTCGAGCAGAAAATAGGATAGGTAACCCGAGCGATACGTATTTCTGCTGGTTGGCTTCATCAGGCCCGAAATGAATGCACATATGCAACTACAAAAGTAGAGACACATGCCCATACATCCGGATACGGGTGTAACCCGAGGAAACAAAGTTGGAGAGGAAAAAAAGACACACGAAGTCCACAACAAGAGCCAACCTACACATTGTAGTATAAAATGGCTAGAAGACCTGGAATTTTCAAGGCGACAAATAACCACAACCACGCGGCCGGTTATAGCCACTTGCTGTGGTACTTCAAGCCCAAAGGATCTACAAAACGATAATTTTCTCTTTGTTAATCCTGACCCCTAATTTCGAAGGAGCCCTTTGTCCAAGATCTTGACGTTATCAGTTTTGGTTTGACTTGTGGATTGCCGCAATGAACGGTAGGGATTACACATTATTGGGATAATCCACTTTAAAGTATATCCGGGTAGAGCCGTCGAAATAAACGTGGTAATGGCTGCAGATTCATTATTGGGTATTATATTAAAAAGATCCAGAATCCAATCTACAGAAGAATTTAATATTTGAGCCCGTTTTTTTATTTTTTTCCCATATATTAAAATTATTTTTGTAATTGTAAAAATATTTTAAGTTAACGAATCATAAGCTGGGGCATCATATTTAATATATCAATGTAATAAACCTTATAGCACGTTGAAAGTGATGAAAATGCAGAAGAAGCTGTGAAAATAAATAAAATGGTACCTCAATTAATTTTAAAACCTACACGCCACTGGCGATAACGCATTATCGGTTTTGCAGGTAGTTGTGCCGTGTAAATCGGGCTGCCCTGTCACTTGTTTTATCACTCCGTACGTTTATTGGATAGATCATAGTAATTCAGTTCTATCAACTGACATTGTACAACAACATGAGTTCTGCTTAAAAGGCAATCGACATTGAATATGCAATGTACTAAACTTCACCTCCCTGATACACTTCTAAACAGGCTAAAAATCCACAAAAGCTCAGTATGCAGGTTCGGACTTGACATTCAATTTTGTGATGTAGCATATATGCATTATGCAATTAAATCTAACATAGGGTTCTGGTGAGAGCACGCAAACATAAATATAATTAGATTTTCATGCATTTTCGTCATAACCTTGAATTGGTTTGAGAATCAAAGTCAGATCATTTGGATACTAAATTGGGTTTGCCTTTGAAGTAGGACTCATGTTGTTACAGAACATCAGTTCTGAGAATGGAAAATCACTGAACGGACTAAGTGGGGTGCTTATCGTTAACTTTCAATTTTATTTATACCATGCATTGCTTTGTTTAGTGTGAAATATTAATAAATAAGAGGATAACTTACAGTATGTTGCATAAAAAATGAATCTGACCCTGGAATTACTAGTAGCCAAAACATTTTGAGACAACTTTAAGCATTACACGCATGGATAAAACCCAGTTGATAACCTTGTCATTTTTCAGTTCTGTACCACATAAGTAAAAAACTCCTAAGTAACTCTGTTAAATTTGAACAAAATCGATTCAATAGTGCCTGAGTTATGTGATATCAAAGATTTGGCGTGTTTAGATAAATCACTTTGTATATCCGTAAAAACCAAATTTGGAACTCTTTTTACAGAAATTTAAGTTCAGTCCATACTACCTGCCATTTTACTATGTTTATTCAAGTATGGAACACTCCGTATATGTGGTTTGATTCGGCCAAACAATAGAGCTCTTGTTACATTGTGCTTCGCTGGTTATTGTTCTACTTATCGGGCTTTTAAACGAATTGCAAACCGGATTTGTATAGACACCAAGTGCCAATTGCCTGAAATAGAGTTTTACTGACGCTGCTTTGATTGCATGGGTTTTTTGTGAGTTAATTATATTTATTATAGATTATCACAACACGTTTTCTGTCTTTCATAGACTTGTAGGTAATGGCTCATTGGATACAGATACCCTTTGAGCGGCCTTAAAGGAATCTCTTGCAAATGCTTAATCTAAAATTTGATGGAGGCGCGCTTCACTAAATTAAGTGTTTTCAGCGGTAACGTTGCATTACTTTGTTATTCCACTCCTTCTACACAGATTACAGATAAAAATAATTAATTGCCGTACAGACACCCGACAAGACACCAGATTGCTGTTGGTCAAACTGAAGTTAAAGCGACGCGAGCTTTGCTGAATGAGGTATTTTCAATTGTGACTGCGTACTTTCAATTACAGCACAGCGCTATACCATTTTAGAGATAATATTAAA